TTAATTTTAGAAAAAACAATTCTCAAAAACAAAAATAAAATAATCCATCGTCAGTAATGTATACAACTCCATTTGCAAGCTTGATTGATCAATACGTATTTGTACATCTATTTATCATATTTCCACGTTTTTATGATGACGCATCCATTAGTTGTGGATTTGGTATTGGAATAAAATATAGTGTGTGTGTGTTTGTGTGTGTTCAAATTTTTTGGGGTCTGATTGAAATTTCTAATAATTTAACACCTATATATACACATATATATCAAGTTGAGTATCCAGCTCTATATATAATACGCATAGAATCCATCATTTGTCGGAATATAGTCTGACAACGACTATAATTTTAAAAATATTATTACTATTATAATTCTGTCTGGCTATATAATAATAATAATAATACATACATACGGATGATATCATTGCATGCGATGTGCTCTTTGAATGGTTCAGAGCAAACACACGCGGCTGCAGCATAAATATATTATATAAAAACGCCATCCCCTCGGAAACACGCGGGACTACGTTATTACGGTATACTTTCTGTTTGAAAGGTTGAAAATGAAAACTTGGCCGAGTCCGAAAAATTAATCAGATCAGAGTTATCGAACGAACCCGATCTATGTAAATTATTGAAACGTATAAATAAATTTCAATTCGTTTACGGACAATACTCGTAATATTCTGAATGAGCTTGTAGTAAGTATGTTTAGTAGTGAATAGTAAATTTACGAGTATAATCGAATCAGGGGAATTTCTAGAAGAAAAGAATACAAACAGTCGAATAATGTAACTCTAATAAAGTATAATAGTCGCCGTGGTATTTATAGTTCAATTAATTATGAGTTATGGAAATCATATAACATGTAATACGTTTATATTACTTGAAACAAATCTGTACCAAAAACGTACAAGATAAATTAACGAAAACCCTAGAATTCATGAACGTTTGCTATACTAATAATCAGCTAAAACAAAACCCAAATAAGACACAAGTATGCTGTTTCTATTTAAGAAACAGAGATGCTAAGAAACGAATCGACATAAAATGGCTCGGCGATACATTACCTTACACTGACCACCCAATCTACCTTGGAGTAACATTAGATAGGACACTTACGTTTAAGGAACATTGCATTAAAACGAAAATGAAAATACAGACCAGGAACAATCTACCGAAAAAGTTGTCGGGTACTCAATGGGGAACACAATCACACACAATGAAAACAACGGGATCGGCATTATGTTTTTCCATAAAAAAAATCATTGAAATAATACCAAACGAAAATATATTTTATTTCAGGACAAAAAAGTGATTATGAACGAAATTACGATCAAAAAAATCAAAAGTAACTTTATACAGAAGCTCTCTTAAACCAATAGTAACATATGCAAGTGAGAATCGACCCCAAATAAAATAAAACAGAAAACTTTTAACTTTTTTTTTTTATTATTTTTAAACGATTTATAATTACCAAGGAATATATAAATAAAAGACATTGTTCACGCCAGTACGGTCAAAATGTAATGTCCGGGTTGCAGTTGGTAGCGCCGTATAGATAATTATGTTCAATCAGCCGAACGACCGTTAGGGGCGGTTGGCAATATTTAAAAATGTCGTTGCGACGCTATGCATCGACGAAAAACCCGCCGCCGTTGTGTTGTTCTTTCTCTCGTTTCCATTACGAACGTTATCATTTTTGGTGTGCGTTGGTTGTTTTTCTACACGAAGTTGTCGTGCGTTGTTGGTCCACGTAATTGACGTACCGTTGTTCCACGTATGTTGACGCGGATGTAAGATCTATTCTTACAACGGAAGTTGCCGTCCAAACCGTCTTTAGCCGGTCGCCGTCGGTTCGGCCACGTTGTTTGCGGGTAGACGCCGCCATACGTAATAGCAAGTTGTGCGCACGTTACTCCGCCGTTAGCGATTCGCCTTCTTTATATCGACATTGTCGGGTTTTGTTATATTGTTTCTTTTATATATATATATATATATTGATAAAATATGTTTTAATTTATTATATTGTTCCTTCGTTGTTTTTTGTTTTTTTGATATTTTTTGAAATATACTTATGTTATTATTATTATTATTATTATTATGTAAATACCAGATTTAGCCTTATTCAATCTCCAGACACTCTAGTCACAGGGGGCAACTGCCGAGTAAAGAGCCTGTGTAGCGAACAGATATAATGACAATATAATAAACTCAACAGACACGGAATATGTAAGATGTAAATTATTGGAATTATTGGGACCTGTATAGATAGAAAATTCGGAAATAGTAAAAACTAACAAGGAACGATCGCTTGGTAGTCCAAGAATCAGGTTAATAAATGCGGCATAAAAGAAAAGAAACGCAACAACAGACTTGAGAGAAAAAAATGGAAAGTTTTACTTAGGGCAGCGTATGTCCTCAGTGAGCGGTTAAACTGTTAAAAAAGAATAATATATAAATGTATATGCATAACTAATATTTTGTAATCTTATGGATATGTAAACGGAACGCTCAAAATATTATGGGGATCATAGAAATCCCAGCGTAATTTTTTTACCACTTTAATCCCTGAATGTTGAATGTGTAAAAACAACCATACGCAGATATGAGAGACGAATACGGTTCAAATGTTTTATTATCAGTCATCACAGCTAGCTTCAACGAACGACTACTATATGGTATACTATTTGAACGTTGTATATAGTACACACATTTTCTTTTGATTAACGCACTTTATTATTTTTTATTTTTTATTTCATTATTTTTTCATTTATTTCATTTATTTCACTTTTTTATTTCAAATGTTGTTCTGTATTTTTTTAACGTTACGAAGTATTCTTAACACTCGTGAAAATTGTGTAATCGATAGCCGACATATAGGGCGTAGTTATTGTAAACGTTCAATTATTAAAATCGTGATTTATAATAAATCTATAATGCAATCGGAAAACTTTGAATAGAAAAAGCTTGCAAATTACTCGACCTAAATCTGCAGCAGAATAATAATATATACGTGTATACTGTAGTGTTCTGTTCAAAAGTTATTTTCATTCTCGATAGACATCCCGATAATGGCGAACTGACTTTAGTTTATTTCAATTTTAATGTTTATCATAATAATTATGCAGCGTTAGCTAATATTAACAATACTTAAGAGCAGAGGAGCCCATAGGTTTTCCATGAGCCAGTACAATTATAATTATAGCACCCCCCAAATTTATTTTGATCTACATCCATACGACCTTATTCACTTGATTGGAATCATTTGTTTCTAAATACATTTCATTTTCAATATTGCAAATTCCTGTACAACATTTTTTTAATAAGGGTTTGAATTTAAAATTGTACAAAAACAAAAAAAATCTTCACTAGTTGGTATTGCTTAGGGTAGTTCTTCAAATACAATAACTTATTAATTATTAAAGATTTCAAAGTTAATACTACAACATACATAATAATTTTAATCAGCGATATACCTCGAGGCATTGAATATTGACTTGTTCTACAAAATATATCAATTACTCCATCAGAATTTATTTCTATATAGTTGTTACATAACATATTAATATAATAACATATAAATCTTGGGGCAGCTTCCTGAGCCCTGACGCAAACTACAAACACAATAACGTTATTATAGTTATCTATATAATTTATTTTATATTTATATTTATATTTGTTTGCATATTTGGCACTGCCAACTCTTTACGTTTTTTTCAACGGTCTAAAGATCCAGATGAATAGTTATGCATTTATAGTGTTTGCTCCAGAGACCAGAGAGGGACCCTCAGATGTATGTAGGCTATGTCTAACCCGGGACCCATAAGAAATCATTGCTATTGCACCATTTGGTACCCTACGTGGAAGCCACTACTTACGAGCATATCTTTGGTTAGGCCCGAGTACATAAGTATATAGGTGCTTATAACACGAGTATATGCTACATTTCCACTCACGTATCGTAGAACAATTATTGTTGTTATAAGAACAATCGAATAATGTAACATAATATATTACTGAGTGTGGTAAATAATTGGCAAATATTATTTTCCTCGAATATCCTATTGGAATTGAATTGTAATACGCCAACGCAATAATGAATTATCAATTTGTAGTTCGTCAAATTATTATTGAGTTCCTCTGCTATATGTATTATATAATTTATATATTTAATTATTATTATGTTTATATTAAATTATATAATAATATGATAATTATTATCAACACGTCAACATTTTACAACAAAATAATTTATTCTACATATATATATATATATATATCGCTATAAATCAAAATAAATAGAATGACAATAAAAACTCAAATATTTAACAGGAAAAAAGTTCATCGTCTGGATTTGATTATTATAAACTGTTTAAATTACAAATAGTAACGATATTATATGATGATAAAATATAATAGAAGTTTCTTTAAATGTTCATCCAATGAACAATTCATTTTTAGAAATGACACAATATTTTATACTGGCTATATCGAGAAAAATAGCATAGAATATATTTAGACTTGAAAATTTGAATCAAACACTACACTTCATACTAAACTTAGAATATTATATAAATAAATAGTAATGCTAGTAATTCATTTTTTTAGGAGTTAAATCATAATAGTATTAAGATCGAAATAGTTTCAATTAGGAAAATTTTAACAGTGACATTATTTTCAGTTTCTTTTTAAACTAAATGCAATACATTATAGAACCAACACCAGTTCCGTTTGAATAACCGATTGTAAAATATTCGAACAGTTAAAAATATGTGAATGGGAAATGCTTGATATATATGTGATAATTACGTGTCCAAAATAATCTTGTGCTATAGTTAAAAGATTGAAAAACTTTAGTTTCATTAATCGGTTCATACAATAAACATGTTAATCATAGCTTGTAAATAAAAAAGGAGTCATTATTGATGTTAGAGATAGTTTTTATATAATGGTAGAATATTATTTTTTAATATTATTAAGTCAATATATTTATAAGTACCTTATGTGAAAAAACATTTCACGCAGAGCAATTTCTTGGTTTCTGGGTTTGAAAATGTTGAAGGTTTTTTGTCCATCCTGAAATTATAAAAAAAAATAATCAAAACAATTATGTAGTATTTTATATTATGATATATTGCATTTATATAATTTTATCAATTGTGCCAAACGAGTATGTTAATGTATGAGAGAGAAGGATATAGATAGATAAATAGATAGTGCTAAAGTGAGAGAGAGAGAGAGAGAGAGAGAGAGAGAGACATCAAGTTAGAGAGAAAAAATTCTAAATATCATGCCCCCTTTATGTCCATTTAAATTTTTTAAATCAATTGCCATAATTCAACTTGTGTTGAACAGATTAAATTTTTCTAATTTTTAAAATAAGAGAAGAATATACTTAACAACTCTATTTTAATTTTATAGGATCGTACATAACACTATTCATATTTTTATTTCTGTCTATTGTCGAGACATATTGTAAATAAAATCTTAACCTATTAAATATAAACATTTATTCACAAAAGATATAATACATTTCTGTAATTCTATAAAATTAAAATATGTTCGCGAATTTCTGAATGTTATATTTGCTGTATAATTTTCACTAATAAACTAATATTAATGTGCAATGTAATTTTTTTTTGATGATTTTAATTTTTGCAGGTTGGAAGAATTATAACGTATTAATAAGTGTATTCACCATGGTCAACGCACATACTAGCACAAAATAACGATATACCTACATTTAATTTCTGTACATTTCTTAGTTTGATACCAAGCTTTAAATATTCCATATATTAGAAAAATATCAACCATAAATGTCAACACCAAGTACGATCACGAAAGATGTAGAGAAGAGTTTCCTTAATTTTTAGATGAGAGAATTCGGAAACGTAGATCTATTTTTATAGGATCCAGTAAAATATAAATTACCTCCCATCTTACAGTATAACCACAACGATAATTCGCCTTAAATAATACATCTGCATAACATAATTATATAACTATTAAAATACACGTGTACAATTTACTGAGATGTAATCGGTCACATGGGACTTTACTATACCTAATGACTTGACGAAGTCTTTGATCTGAGCGTATAAAGAAGTATGCTGAATTTCTCATATTATTAATACATAATTATAATTCTTGTTATACGTAATACCACAGATAATACACAATATAGTATTACACGGGACTGGTCTACAATATTGTACCCACCGTCTTTTTAGAAGGTAAGTTAGTAATGCCTAGGAGTTTGTCTTTTGAATATATTATGGCATTGTGCTTAAGTTGTGACAATGTTCATGTAAATTTATGGTATTTAAATACATATAAAATAAATACAAGATAGTTATTTTCGGTTCGTTGTTCTTGCGATTCACTGGTGTAATTCTAAAAGTTTACAACACTGCAAATAAATCTAATTTACGATAAGACGCGTGTGGACAACAATCATCAGGACATGAATTTACATGTGTATCTAATATGAACAATAATCCAAGATCTTAAATGTATTGGAATTATATTTGGCACGTAAAAATAACACGAACTATGAAAGAGTATTGTAAACGCAATTTTAAAAAAATAAATAATTTTGATAATCATTAGAGACGATTTTCAATTTAGAAATACGTCAATTTATTTACTAAATAAAATCAGTTCAACAGTTAAAATATAAGTGTTAAAAGTATAATTAATATTTGAATATTTTTCTATGGAAAAAAAATAATAAAAATATATTGTACACACAAGCGCATAATGTACATACATTTCAAGCAAATTGAATAAAATCTTAACGACCTAGTTTCTGTCAAAGTTCCAATGACAGTAAATGTTTATACAAACGTTATTTTAAATGTAAAAGGAAAAAAAAATTAAAATACTCCTAAAATATAATTAAATGTTTTCTTCTAATACACATTAATTTTACCGAAAAAAAAATTAAGATACTGGGAGCGACGACCCGTTTGCCACAACCATTATATTAATATAATTATTGATTTTACAATGTATAGATTGACTATCATAGTTGTCATAATTTATAGTACCAACTAAACGCAATCACTAGATGTATAAGTAATTGCTTCAATTCAACTTGATGAAAATTGGTTTTTAAACATTGAAAACTGTCAATTGTTGATGTTTCGATTATTGAAAATCTGTTCTCGTCAAGTTAAATGTGAACGATTATGCCCACGGAGGCACTACCAGTTTTAATATTAGGGTGGTGTACCCATATATTCTAAAATCAACAATATTGCTATGGAGATTGTTTTAAATTTTTTTCGTACGTTACATCATTGTTATAATATATTTGTACCGTTTTACGGGGTACGGCTGTGGCGGTGACTTTTCCTCGGAAACGGCGGCGTTGGTCATTTCTACGGGTAAAAAATTATATCGAATCCCATAAAACAATCACGACAAAGTGCCGTGCGATAAGGCCGGATATCACACTTTATTATCTAAAAACCGTATAACGGCCTCGACGCCCATCGTTGTGTTCACGTATTGGTACCACAAAATACGTATACCCAGTTATAACATTCTACTGATCTGAAAAATATCGAAGCTGTAATATCGAAATATCGAATGGCCGACTTAAGAGCTGGATTCGTATCAAAAAGTTTAATTGACGAGAAATAGAATGATTTTGATGGGATTACAGATTTACAAATTTTAAATATTAATTTTAAATGAAATATTCATATAAAGAGCCTGTAGGTAATATTATACAACATTGTCTCATGTCTAATATATTCAACTAATATATCGTTCTATATGGTATAAAGTTGATATTGACGGTTTTCTCATAATTTTGAATTTAATTTAGAATATAATTTATTACAACAGCCATTGATTATAAGCCGTATTTTCAATTGTTATCGCTAATATCAATCAAAGTTGTAAGATTAAGAAATAACGTCAATATTTCGCGTTATTAGCAACCGAATTATATTCGTAACCGGCGTCTATGCTGGGTCGAAAGACTTTACTAATACAAATACAAATTAAAAGTAAATAAAATTAAAATAATTAGTTACTTTAAATTATAACTAACTTATATCAAATTAAAATATGGAATGTTTACTGAAATTAATTTTATAAAACTATTAATGTAAGGTAGTACCTAATTACGTTGTTACGTATAATACCTAATTTACCTAATTACGTTTTACTCGAGGATTTACAATTTTTTTTCTTCACATTAATTAGCTAATAAGATATAAGTTACGTAAGGTCTGTTTTTATGAGTCAATTACGAAATATATTGACTTATTTTATATTTTATTTTTATATAATAATACCACATATACTTTTAAAATTAAAATTAAAAAAAATAATTATTCAAGTCAAATTTTGTAAATACCATTTTTTTTTTTTTTTTTATAGTCCCGAGCGAAAAGCTTTAAGTTCCAAGCCCTGGTTATGTGTCGATAATATTTAGATTCAAAAGATGATAATATTTAAAGATAATATAAAATGTGCTTATTTTTAGGAGTAAAAAATCACTTATCCTAATAAAAAAAATAATAAAAAAGACCAATAGTTTGGGTTAAAACCGATTTAACCGAAACCGTAACCGAAACCAATGCTTATTATTTATAAGAACTGAAACCGATACTGAAACAGAATTTTTTTCCTCACCGTAACCAAAACCGAAACCGATAAAATCATAAAGGTTCCAGTCCCTGCTTTTAATATTATGCCATACGATGAATGACAAACTTACCCGACAATGTAGATGAGAAAGGAACTGGTCAGACCCTATCATAACGAGAATTAATTATACTGCTATTCTACGAGGTACGATTCCATTATAACACACTATTATCCATTATCAGGACCTAGAGCTCGGAGTTGAGTGATTGTTCATTAATAGGGATTACGTCCGAGCGATTCCTCGTGTCTTGTTGGTCCGGCGAATTAAACGATTATTTATTTGATTTTCTCGAAGTCGAGTACAAACAACAAGTCGTCGGCCGTGCAAGCTGCTGCCGATACTGTTGGTTTCGTTAATAATAACAATAATAATAATGAACTAAAAACGGATATCAAGTCCACTTGGCGTTTGTATCGTGCTTTGTTTCATGATCACAAAAACCATGTTTTCGCATTCAACGTATCATTAATTTTTATAAGATTTCGCACAAGTTTACTAATTGTTGATTTTTTTTCTATAATTTGTTATTTTTTTTGGTTTGGACCAAATCAAATAAATATCTGGTGGAGAAGAAAAAAAAGTTTTAAGAAAAACTTTGAGGCCAGACCTATGTGAATTAATTCGGTACATATAAAGACGTATTATATATTTCAGACATTCAAACGCATATACTATGAGATTTTTACAACGGTAAATTATATATAACCCATTATGATCAGTTCGAAGGTAATTTTCGAATGTGAAGTGAGGAGCGTGGTTATTATTTTTTATTTTTTTGGTACACAGGCTACAGGCACTGTCGGTGGATCAATAACACCCGGTGTGCAAGTGGATCGCGCTATGGACCAAAGCCAAAACGAATAGAACAATGCATAACGTTTTCTTTAAATCCAAAAATAAAACCTCTCTATATGTATATAGCTGTAATCTTACATAGAGATCACGATAATTCTGTATGTATCCACAATTTTTAGATCAATGCCAAAATGTAAACAGTCTAAGAAAATATTATCCCATGCGGGTTAGGGTGTACGAACACGTGAGTGTGATGAATTTCCAATTTATAAACGTTTCGTGTACAGTATTTTCGCATCTGGAAAACGCGTGTTCTGCCGAGCCAGAAATAAATATTAAACAATCCAAATGACTCATTTAACACAATTTAAACACATTCGTACACAACCAATCGATTTTTCCATTCTGAGATTATTATTATACGTACTGTATAGTTGTGATGAAGCGGTGTGATTCTGAATGCTACGTTAGATTTTCCCCGTTATGTTTTCGAACATATATTGTGTTCGTGATAAAATGCAATACTCATTAGGTAGACATACACGAGCGGATTTTATAACGGATTTGGTCTCTGACGGATTAAATCCTCTAAAAAGTCCTATCGTGTGTGGTGTTC